TGGTCAAGGACGCAGAGGTCCAAGTAGCAAACTATACACTGTGTTTGGTGTAGGAATCATGTGGGTTTCTTTTTTTTTAACAGAAAATAACATAAATACTCATCATATTTATGTTATTTTGATTATTTCATTGTGCAATATCTTGCGTTTTAAAGGACCTATATAACTGAGTTCACAAGCGTGCTATTAAAATGAATGAGACATTTTTAATCTCCTGCCGTGTGAATCCTCTCAGAGCTCCATGCAGAGTTTCTGCAGGACACAGGAGCCCCTCTCAGGGCCACAGACACTGTAACAAAGACTCAGCTGATGATGGCTCGGTGACGTCAGCACGAGCCAGAACAAAGCCTCGCCTCCGACCTGACACACTGCCTACAAGGCACGCTGAGTCATCTGCAGGTGTGGATTCTGCCTGTGAGCACTTTTAGATTTCAGGACAGGAAATCTTCCAGAGGTCGCACAACTGCTGATTATCTGGAGAGACAACAACAAATTCAGGCAGAGAATTAGAGTTTAAATATGTCACACCGCATGTATTCTAGGTTACTGTTTTCCCAGGCCCATAATGGGCCCAGTGTGTCCACTGATGAGTGCCCAGTTTCTCCGTTGGATCATTGCCAACAGTTCTGTAATTGAATGAAGACGAGTAAAGCTGCAGGCAAATGCTGATTAACCCTCCATTGTTGTCACACTTTGAGGGCGACCCCAAACCTTTAACGGTTGGCTGCGGTCCAGACTGCTGCGGTAATGCTGGTGGAGGGTCACAGCAAGATGGGTGGTGTTGAATTTTAATGAGCGTGGTTCCCAGGGAAGGGGGGAAAAAGCTGTCCCAGCGGAAGGTCGAAAAGCAGCGACGCTATCCTCTAAATCCCATTTTATCTCTATCTCTGGAACTAGTATTCCCTGCTAGATGTCATGTGAGGAGTCACATGACATCTAGATAGCATATGATAGGATACAGTGATAATTAAAGTGAGTTTTAAAAAAGTCAAAACGAGAGAGGTTCTACTGCTTTTCTCTGTTTCAGTCTTTTAAATAAAAGCACCCAGTGCTTTAAATAAGTACAGGTAAGATTTGTGAAGGCTCAACTTTTTCTACTCCTGGTCCAACTGCCTTCAGATCACTAACAATCTCCTGTGTAGTTTGGGAATTTGATATTCTGTCTTCATGACACCATAAAAATTAAGAGATTTCTTTATTTCTTTGTAAGAGCAAACTTGCAAAATCAGTGGGGCATCAAATAATTATTATAGTTTTGGTACTTTTCTGCAATGCCTCTGGCTGAAGAAGCATCGTAGATAAAGTGAGCCGGGCCTTGGGGTTTATGTTCAGTGTGAGCTCCACATGGTAGCCGGTCAGCTGACAGAGAGAGTAGATCGGCTGCAGGTTCATGTTGCAGAGAGGCCAAATAAAACATGTAGTACAAGCAAACACATCATTGGTTTCCCAATTCAGTATCTGCAGCTTTCAATGCTGACTCTACCTCTACTAGACAACCTCCAAAAAGCTCCAGGAGACGGTTTTGAAAACAAAAGACAAACACCATTTGCATCCCTACAGTTAGTGTTGTGGCTCCACTTTATGGAAAAATCAATAAATCATTCATTATATGCACATGGTGCAGCTGTGATATTCTGCCTTTTTTTGCATTTCTATAACAACGCTGTGTTATAAATAAGTTACCAGATTATGCAACTGAATAATTTCATGCCAATTTATTTCCGTGTTTATAAATAAACAGCGACTAAAACTGATCAATTGTTATGTAGGAAATGACTGGAACAAGCTCTGCATCAATATTTCATACAGTAATTAGATCACAGAGGAGGCCGGGATGGAAACATTTGTCCCTCGCTGACCGTCACTGTGTGAGAAAATGGGTCACAGACCTTTATCACTGCTGCATGACACGATCAAGGGCTCAGTGTGCTGTTTTTTTTATAATGCACCACAATAAATAGGAAGTATTACCCCGAGTGACCGGATGAAAAACAAACGCGAAAGAGAGCAAAAATATGAGCTGCACAAGATATGTAATGAGATATGGCCGGGACAATGCTGATTTAATCGGAATCTGCACCAGTGGACAATTTGGGCGAGTCAACACAAGCAGCAGGATTCATCCTCTGAAGATCATGAATGATTTTTTTCAGTAGCTAAATCACCAAATGTTAAAATGCTTCTTGCCATTTCTTTAAGTAGTCTTCAGGAATAGTTCTCCAGGCTTCTTCAGGCAGTCAAAGCTCTTCTTTGCTGGCTGTCTTTTGTTCTGTTCTCTGTGAGGATAATCACACTGCTTCAAATATTGTTCAGGCTCTGGGGAGGCCGATCTTCAGCCCCTGCTGTGCTTTACAGACGGCTGTGGACACTCGCTGTTGTATCTCCGCGGTCAGGTGAGACCGAGACGACAGGTCACGACAACTCGAACAGAAACTCTCACATTTTTCTAATTTGGATTTATCACTAAAACCTGTTTCCACTGATTTCATGAGTTAATAATTAAATAAATATAAGTAGTAGGTCCAAAACAGGTTTCTATGCAGCTACACAATTTTTTTTTTTAAATATACAAAAAATTTACATTTTTAAATATTGTAACTTTAAAATCATGCTTTATAAACACATTTGAGTACATTTTTCTCCATTAATGCAAACTCCTCTACAGTAGATTCCACTTGATCCTGTGTTTTTGTGTTTATAAAAGCTCACAAGTCTGCAGATCATGTTCTAGTGCATCTTTGTGCAGTCCCTCCTGGCAGGACTGCAGCTCTGCTGACCTCTGACCTTTAGCACATGAATTATCTGCTGCTAATTTCATTACTGGAAACCGATCCATTATCTTTTCATCTTTCTGAAATAAATCTTGAAACACATCTACCGTAGAAACGGCTCAGACATCGACAAATGCAGTTATTGATCAGATTAAATCCATTTGTGCTGCTGTTTTGACAGCAGCCTTTGAGTAAGAGGTTTATTTGCACCAATGAGCGACAGCACAGCTTTACTCTTTTCAGCCTCTAATCTAATCATCGCTACTTTTGTCCACTCCCTCTCGTTCTGTTTTAGTCCCACCAGGATTAAAGGGTTAAAAGAAAAGAACAGAGGCTTCTTCAGAGCAAATACACTCAAATACAAGCAGTTTAGTGTTGACATACAAGTAAAACATCATAACAAATATATCAGACTGTATTTGTATATAGAAATACAGTCTGATGATGAAGTTCTGTAGGTGGTGAAGAAGTACTTCACCACCTACATGGGGATGGAGTGAAGTTTCAGAAAAAAAGCATCAGTTCTTTATTTTTGATTTATTCTGTCAGTTATACAGCAGCTTTCTAAAAATCAAGTCTATACTTACGTTTAATTTTTACATTAATCTTACACAAAAAACAGCTTTAAATTTTACCTAATGAGAATCATGAAATGAGACGAGCAATTAAGTCATTGCTCGTCTCATTTGTCCTTTAATTTAACAAAAACCTGTTTAAAGTAAACAAAATCTCTGTTATTTTAGTCTTGAAAATGCAAACCCTGACTTGGCTTCCTTGGCCATCGTTATCCTGCCTAATCAGAGGCCTGAAACGCCCTCTCGTCTCACTCTGATCGTGATGCGTGACGCCTCGTCTCGTGCAGCTTCCCCCGCTCTCTGGCAGCGAGGTTTCGGGCCTGGATATTTGCTGGCTCAGGAGGGCAGAAGACAAGCTGATTATCGGGCGGATTTCCAGCAGCTCAGAGCTGCTATTCCCGGTCTCAGCTGAGAATTAGACCCTCTGGAGCAGCTGCTGCTGCTGGTCTGCAGCTGGGTCGATCGGCTGAATATTGAGGCATCATTTCAGCTTCGATTACATGAGCCAGTGCTCTGAAAGCTGAGTAAAAAACCCCAATTTTTTCCCCATTTGAGAACAAAATTAAGCACATACCCAAAATAATTAAGAAGTATTTTATAAAATGTTTTAGCTTTAAACGGGAAAAACATTTTCACAATATTATGGATGTAAAGAAGAAGGCTAATGTCGTGGTTTTCAACTGGTCCTGGAATATTTCCATAAGAACAGCTCTGAAAAGAAAAGTTTAGCACAGTTCATTCATTAATATGATGGTTTAAATGTATAGAAATCATAAAAGTATGCTGACTTTGGTAAACAGAGGCTTCACCCTTGCTGCTACAAACACATACATCATCTTCTGAGACAAATTTTCAACTCTGAAAGCCAAAAAAATCTCAAGAGTTTGGAATACAGTGATGTGCAAGAAAGCCTCAAGTATACATTAGCAGAGATGGGCAGTAACGCGTTACTGTAATCCGATTACTTTTTTCAAGTAACGAGTAAAGTAAGGGATTACTATTGCAAAAACGGTAATTAGATTTCCGTTACTTTCCCGTAGGAACGCTGCGTTACTGCGTTACTAAAACCGTGATTTTTTTGCAAGAATGTCTCATGACAGTGACGTAAGCAAGTGTGATGTGCGTGACAACAGCTGTGTGCAGATCAACAATGGATCATATATCTAGTGCGGGAGAGAGTATGAGCGTGCAGCGTTTAAAGCGTGGAAGTACTGACCTTACTTTGAGTTTGATTCCATAAAAATTGACAAAAACATTAGTGTCCGTTGTGCGTGGGAAGAAAACTTCTTTTTACAGCGAAAAAACCGCTAAACTTCCAAGCAAGCACCGAGTGCGCTATGACGTAATGGGAAGATCATTGAGAAACTCGTTGATTCCACTGACCGCCGCGGCACACCTGCACCAGGGTAAACCTCCGCCTACCCAACTCCTGCTTTACAGGTGAAAATAGAGCAGTATGATGGATTATGTAGAAAAAGTAGAATTGGGCTGAAAGATCTATCGCTTTATCACCTACTCAGGTTGCAAATCGTGTTTTTAAAAAGTAACTAAGTAACTAAGTAATTAATTACTTTTGAAAATAAGTAATCAGTAAAGTAACGGGATTACTTTTTTGGGGAAGTAATCAGTAATTAGTTACTTATTACTTTTTTCAAGTAACTTGACCAACATTAGTATCAAGAAAAACATACAAATACGATTTCACCGACCAACACTAGGACGTTTAATCAAGTCAATCTTTGCCAGACAATTCACCTGAAAACGCACAAGAACGAGTCATGTCCAGTTCAGTGAGTCCAGCTGTCCTTGGAGAAACACGCCTAAGAACCCGAACTTATAAAAGAACATAAAGTGGTGACTTAGAAAAAGAATCGCCCCTGTGCACCTGAGAATGAAACTCTCTTTTTGGCGTCTTAGATACCAACTGTTTGCAAGGACTTGGGAACAAATGTTCGATCTTGAATTTGCATCTAAAGACAGAAAACTGAGAAATAGTAAGTTAAAAAAAAGACAACACTGCACCATCAGCACCAAGCAGCTTCCCTTCTCAGACTCCATCACATTTTACAGAATGAATCAGCTTCTAACACCCACCTTTTCAGCAGGCAGCATTACTCACTTCCTCTACCTTCACACTCCCATCTGATGCGGCATGTAAACCTTATATCACCAAGTGCAATGCCAGGCGTCAGATGCAGCGGTATAAAGCAGGCAACCTGTACGGGAAATCTTAATACTCGACCTTAAAAAGACTTTTGATAATTCGATGCTCCGGCCTTGTGGGAAGAGTTTGAAGAAAGCCCTTTCCTGTGCCAGCATGATTGTGTCCTCGTGTACAAAGCAAGGTCCATAAAAGCGTGGGTGGATGAGTTTGGTGTGGAAGAACTTGACTGGCCCACAAAGAGCCCCGACCTCAACCTCATTGAACACCTCTGGGATGAACTAGAATGGAGATTGTGAGCCAGGCCCTGTTATCCAATATCAGTGTCTGACCTGATTCTGGATGAATGGTAAACTCCCCACAGACGTACTCCAAAATCTTGTAGAAAGCCTTCCCAGAAGAGTGGAAGCTATTTTAACTGCAAATGGGAAAGGAACCTGTATAAATGCCAATGAATTTAGAACAGGATGTCATAAAAGGACTGATAGGTGTAATGTGCAGGGGGCCACATGCTGCTGTCTATATAGTGGTACCTTAACTTATCAAACTATAACATCCAGTGCTTTTAATAAAGCACAAGTTTATAGGCCAAGTTTATACTGTTAACATTCTGTCACACCAACTTTTTGAATCACTGATTACAAAATGAAGTGGCTTTCGATTTCAAGAATGATCATCAAGATCTACACCACCAATTCTGGTACATAGAAAACATAAACGACTGAAGTTTTTACTAAACAGTTTTCAGAAAAGGATTAGGTAATTTGAATTTGATGGCAGCAATGTCCCAAAAAAGTTGGATAGGGACATGTTTACCACTGTCCCCAGAAATGTTTTCCACATTTTAATGAGCTGAGTCATTTCCTGATCATCTTCACATATGGCTTATTCTTTGCATGACGAAGCTTTAACCTGCACTTGTGGATAGCACAGTGAACCGTGACAGAATCATGACTGCTTTTACTTCAGTGCCGCCGGGCCTGCAGGGCATTCACTGGTTTTTGGCCCCAAGCCTTGCACACAGAGATTTCCCCAGAGTCTCTGAATCCATAAATATTGTGTACTGTACTGCAGATAATGACATATTGAAATGGTTCAAGATTTTATGCTGACAAACTTCATTCTGCTGTGGTTCCACAAAATGTAGATGCACTTTTTGGAATATTGGTGAACCTCTGCCTCCAAGGTGCTCTTTTCATACTAATCATATTACTGACCTGTTTCTCTAACCGTTTCCTTTTAGTATCCCTTAGTTGCCCAGGTTTTTATTGCCCCCATCCCAATTTAAAGATGAGTTGCTGTCTACTAGAAAATGAGCTAGTATTTTTTAGTATGTTCAGTTCACATTTTACACGGCGTTCTAACGTTTTTGTAAGTGGGGCTGTACCTTCTGCACAGAGCATTTGTTTGGAGACACTATTCGGCTAATGCTTTGCAAAAAAACCAAAAAGCCCTTTATGAGATGATAAATGAGAACACCCAGAGCTCAAATTAAATACAGCAGTAATGATTTCCTGCTACACCGGATCTCTCCTTTCAAACAGGGGAGGGGGAAACCTCAATGGATGCATTTGACGGAGCAATCACTCAGGGTGTTTATGACAGGTGGAGGTGTCTGTGTGGAGGAAGGACTGCAGACAGATTTTTTTCCTTGTATAGGAGACTTAACAAACAGATGGAATCTGCAGTTTAACAGGAACATACACGGTTTATGTTTGAAATGTAACAAATGTGTGGTTTCATGCTGTTAAATCAAACTTCAACATGTCAAATCTTCAAAGCTTCTCTGCTTCAAAACAGAAATATGACACAAATATTGTCCCACAATCATTGTATTTATTAAAAATAATAAAGCTCCTTCTTCCCCAACACATAAAAGCAGAGCTTATCTGTAACTCTTATGAAAGGGAGAGCCAAATAATCAGCTATAATCTCAGAGTTATAAATCTTAATCTTCTCAAATGAAATTGCTCTTCAATTCATTTTCAGTCCTGCTTGATGAAAGCATCGAACCGGTGCCAACTGACAAAGCACAAAATTATGTAACGCGCAAAACTGTAAATCCTCCCGGCGCTGCAGTACCAGGCAGGGACGGGAGGAGCCTGGTGCTCCTGCTGGATTACCCGAGCCTTAGGAATGACACCAGAGTGAGGTGGATTATAAACTCTGTTCCAGAGAAATCCCTCTCACTCCAAGCTTTAGGTTCTTGGTTTGGTAGCAAAAGTAAGGTACCCCGTGTGGCCGGGCATTTCTCTGGGCAGCGTGGTGGTCTTCAGTGAGATGGAGGCGTGGTTCGGAGGAGCAGCGGGAGTCGCCTCCTCTGTGGTTTCGGGATCAGGGCCGAAATCTGGCAGCGGTAGAGAGACCGTTCGGACATCGTACTCTCTCAGCAGCACCTCCGTGGTGCTGATGTCTTCGAAGCCCTGATCCTGCAACGCCTCGCATGTTTTCTGAACTTGCTCTATGCATGGAGAGAAGGAGCACAGCCGACCACCTGCAGGAGACGCAGAACAGAAAACAAACCACAAGTAAACACGAAGCTCCCAAAAAAGTATCAAGACCATGTGTGACCACAATCGTTTAAGCGCCCTTTGTTGTCAACTTATGCCAGTATTGGTCAGCTCATGTTATTTAGAGAGGTAATGCAACATAATCGCTGCTTTGAAAATAATCATGACATCACTTCCTGTCGAGCTTCTAAAACACTACTTTCAGTAACCAACTGCAGTCTCCTGTGCAGCTGAACAAGTGCGTCTGCTACCGTAACTTGTTTTTCCCGATATATATAAAACTCAAAGCTCTCTTCTACGGTCCTGTCAGAATTCCTGCTCTTGAAAGATATCCAGTGTTCATGACCATTAAATTGAGCCCGAAAACCTTATTTTGTCAATGTCACGGCCAAACAAGGTTTGTATTTGTCTTTAAAAAGACAAAAACCAATATTTCAAAGCAGGGTGTGAGTTCTAGTTTTTGGCACGTGTAATCAGCTCTAACGTTATCATCAGGACAGCGGAAAGCATTCTTGTTACCGTCACCAGATTCAGGTTTGCGTCTCAAAAAGTGTTGCAGTAACAGGAATGAGCTGTCGTCGCCTCAGTGTCCTGGTACAAAGTCTGTTTTTTTATCCATATTTTCAATAGTCTGAAGTAAGATCTTTGACCTGTTACTGTGCAAACTGAACAATAATTACCGTCAGACTGCCAGGTTGTATTGACTCCCAACCCTTCTGTTTAATGTCAGTACGAGACATCTCTGCACATCTTAATCTGTTTAATCTGAGTTTATCTGCTAATCATTACACAGTATCATCTTTAGAGTTATTTTCATCACTCTTTCTCAAAGCATCCAAGTATAGAAAGTGTTCCACGTTTATAGTCTGAAAACAATTCTCCTCAAAAACATCCCTGAATGAAGATTCATAACATAAACCAGATTTGTAGACCTGATATGGACCGAGAAGACATTGAAGTATCACCCCTGGGATCCCTACGATACTACACCTTCTATTAATAATTTGTTTCTTTCCAAACACCCTGTAGCACTTTCCAGGCATATTTCCTTCCTAACAAAGCAGTCCTGTGACCTGCTGAGTCCAGACTGCAGCTTGCGGCTCATCAGGGGATAAGCCGGTGCTTTAATGAACACAGATCACCTACTGGCCACGGCCTTTCGTCTCCAAATGAATCCTTGCTGTGATCGCAGCGTGAGGCTGGAGCGACCAGCCAAGAAAACTCTCACTGGCTGTCCTGAAGCCCAAAGAATGTGACTCTGAGCGATGCAGCTGCATTGGTCAGGGGTTAGGGTTAACAAATTTAAACATCTTAGAGTGAAAATCTTAAGTGCCTTAATAGGGGTTTAATATGGAGAATATAAACTTTTCTAAAACCAACACCAACTAATGTTTCAAAATATGAATATGGTGACACCAAGACAAGCAAGTGAAACACACTCAGTCTAAATCTGTGGATTCTCTGTTTGGATGTCTCTGATTGAGCTGCTTATGTAATCAGAAGGCTGCAGTGTGGCTCTCTGTCATCTGTAACCTGTCGTTGTTCAGTCACATTCTACTCATAGACCTGCTCTTGCACCACATTATACAGCATTTATTGTAGCACAGAAAGAACAGGCAGGTCCACCACCACATACACTACTAGCAGAGTACCTGCTCTGGTTACAAACCTAAAGTCTGACCTGATGGTTGCACTGAATGCAGATGTCACAACAAAAAAAGAGCAAAAGAGTAAGATGTTTACATTTTCCTCTTTGATTACTGGCTTGTTATTTCATGCTACAGATACAGGAGTGACCCTACGCTGTGTCCCTAAATATAACTTGTAGCCCAGAAGATTACAACCGTCCTCTGCAGCTCTTACTTGCCACTGTTGCTGGTTTTTAAAAATCACTTAACACCCAGAAGTGGAAAAAATACTGCATTTTGACTCAAGGGGCACGGCTGACAATAAAAGGATCACATCTGCAGTCCATTGAGTCTGTAAACACTGAAGGAGACGGCGGGATTATTGAGATACTGGTCGTTCCTTTGGCCAACAGAACCAGCGGTCTCCCTCGAGACAGCATTAAACACATTCAACACATTCAACAGCGGTCTCCTGGAAACCACGGTGAATACACAGGGAGGGGCTGGGTTGATGATTATACAAGAGTGTTTCAAATGGTTATTAGGGGCCCCGAATATCAGCTGCACAAATGGCTTTAATATATGCACGAAACTCTGATTCCTAGTTGTAAAGTTTAAGGTTCTTGAGTGTCTGAGACCATGGGACATGTTTGCTTTATACTTGCATAATACCACTCATAAGTCTGCGAGGGGGGGCTCTGATAGGATTCAGGATCCTTCTCAGGGAACAGCCGAACACAGGGCCGGGCTGCTTGCCAAAACATTAGGAGAATTACAACTTTGAGAGAGAAAAAGAAATATTTCCCTGCCCCTTGTCTCACACTCTGTCCACTAAAGAAAACGCGCTCTCAGCTATTTTATTCCTCCAGTCTCTGCAGTTCTCAGGCAGGTTCTGAAGATGGAGAATTTCTTTTCAACAGAATAAGATGTATGAGTTTTTAATCATGACAGAAGCTGTAGATGATAATCCCATCAGAACCCTGGTGTTTTAATTGATTATGATATGGCCTCAGCAGAAAGCACGTCTCTTTCACTTCATGTGGGAGCCTGAGAGTGTGTAAACCCCACTCCTGGGGACTGCATCCCTATCACCAAGCACACAACACCCCATTCTACTTCTATCTTTGTTAGTTTGTTTACTATTACATCTTTTTGTGTTTAGCTGGAACATATTGGGGCATTGATGTTCTGGGGAAAACCAAGTTTGAACAGTGGGCAGTAAACCAAACCTTTCCTCGTGGAGCCTCATCTAGCAGCTCTCTGCCTGCAGCATAACCCTGTATGGTCATGGGACTGCTTCTGCAACAAGGCTGTACTCTATTTATCTGTATCTTTGTGTGTGTGTGTGTGCGCGCGCATGCACGTATATGCATGCAAGGGCCAACAGCTCATGGATGGAATATGTAGCTGTGGCACCATAAAAGGGAGTCAAAGAGGTGGTGGGAGAGTTTCAGGGCAGCATCCTCGTCCCCTCTGCATTCCTGCTCATACTCGGCTTACTTTGTAAAATCATTCATGAACTCTGGCTTTAAGATTCATAAAATACTAATCTTCTGCATATGAACTCTGACTTGGATTGAGATGTTAAATTAAATGTGACTGTGAAAGAAAACTTCAGTGCTTGTAGTGGCAGAATAAACATTGACACCAACTCCAGTTTGTGTTTTCAATGCACAGATGAAATTTAAACCCAGGATGTAGCAGCTAAGCTAAGCAAGTGTTCACCTACACAAGTGTATTCCAGTATTTTGGCCAAGGTGACTTTCTCAGGGCAATCTGGGCTTGTGCACACTGAGCTTCTCTCCTGCAGTCCCTGTTGTGGGCAACTATATAGAGCTCAGCAGATTCTCATTACAGAGGACAGAGCCATGGTTTTTGGCTTAAAGTGTTTTACAGTAAACAAAATATGAACTCTCATGTCCACAAAAGCAGATCTTTGTTTATATAATTTCTGTGGCAGTATTTGTGCACATTAACAATAAAGCAAAGAATATACTTTCTCACTGTGTTACTCATCTAGTGTTGGGCTGTGCTAATGGATTATTTTGAGAGTGGCCGGTGACCATGATGGAAAGTTTTTCCTGTTCGGACCAGGGCCGACCCATCAGATGTAACGGATTCTGTGTTGACCTGCCGCATCCTGACGTGAACCTCTACAAATGTAACCATCAGGTCGTGATGCTGATCACAATAGCTGTGACTCTGCATGGAAGCAAAAGGCCATGCAAACCAAAATAACCACGACAGACTGAACTAAACAAGCATCTTTCTTCTTCTTCTGAAATAAAAGGTAATCTATTGTGGGGTTTAACTGCATCTTCACCTGGAGGGCGGTAGAGTTCTACAGTAACAGTATAGCCTACTGTCATTTCCTCATTTTCAGAGCCAATTCATGCATGAACCCCACTGATTCTGAAACAGATAAATAGGACACATGGTAGGAATGTGGCCAATGTGTTCTCAGATTAATGTGAAACTTCTCAAATAACCCCCACCCCTTTAAAAATAAATAAATTAAATAGTCATTGGGCTAAAGGTGCAGATCTTGTGAGCTCTACACAGCTCATGCAGTCTGAATTTATCGCTAACCACTGGTCACCCCAGTGAACTGCCAACATGCCCAGGCATGCTGCAGATCCTGGTTGTCAACGACGCCTACGTGCTTTGTAGCTCACTAGCAGAGTTTGGATTGTGCTCCTGTTACTATGAAATACCACAGGGGCAAGGTTAATGAGAGCCGAAGAGCAGGATCGATGGTTGTTCTGGGAGTGCAGAGTGTGGCGACACGGCCGGGGGGAGATAAACTCATGGACTGGTATTTTAAAATGTGCCCGTTCACAGTCATGTTCCTGAAACACCAGGACGAGTCACGCCAAAGTCATCATCAGGTGGTGCTGATTATTTGTCTGACAACACACACTAAGTACACGTACACACAAAGCAAAGTACTTAACTATCAGGATCCAGATTCTCTTTCCTAATTTCTGCATATAGTTAGATCGCAGTCAGACTTAGTGGAAGAATATTTCTTACACATTTATGTGAAGAACAGGTAAACATGAGCTGCAGCACAGCTCGCAGTTTGGAGGAATCTGTATCTCCAGCTGGAATTGATCCCAAAACCTTTTACTTTTCCACCTGTAATCTTTCTGTGTGCTATCTGGGAAGACCTCTGTCTCCTGCTGATGCCGGGTTACAGAAACACAACAGGTCAAAAATAGAGCATGAGCCTACAGTCAGCCATGATGCAAACCATCATTGCTCGACCTTGCAATTTGTAGACTGAGCTAGCTGAAACACCCTGACTTGATAGTCATCTTGCTACACGCTCATTAGAGCTCTCCCCCTCCCTCACATGCACACTCACTCTTACCGTGCTTCTTCATAGCAACTTTGGCGTGTCCCACTGCATCCCAGGGGCTGGGGATGTCAAGGAAGACTGCATCTGCCACCCCTGTCACTCCAAAGCCATCCTTGCACACATCCTGGTTCCTGACGGTGACCAGATGATCCACGCGATGCTCCTTAAACTCCTCGGCCACCTTCTCTGCACGCTGCTGGTGGAACTCCACTGTGTGGAGGTGACCTGTTGGGGCAATGGTGCGCAGGATGGCGTGGGAGAGGGAACCACTACCTGTACCTAGAAAACCATATACAACAAGGGTCACGTAGTGAAACACAGAACATCTGAGAAGAACGCTTTAGTCTACACGAAATGGCCATTTCAAAATAAAAGTCAGCAAGCACAAACTAAATAACCAAGAAAGATTCAGACTTAAGGTATTATCAAACCTCATCTCTGTGTGTGGACAAAGCACTGCTAAAGAACTGGTCTTGGACAACACTTCACATTATGTTGCATGTATAGCAATCTCACTGACTTCCCTTAAATGACCAGTCTAGATACAGATACAAATTTTCGGGTTAAGTATTCTACGGAACAACGCAATCTCACAAAACCTCAAAATGAGGTGCTGTTGTATTTTAGAATGGACAGTAAACGCTGTCCTCTATCCTCAGTCAGTAGAACCAGATCACAGATCCGACTACAACACGCACCCATATTTTCACACTGCTCTGCTGTCTACTCTGGACGATAAGTGGACGCTACATTTCCGAGCAGGCCTTTTTCACCCTGAAGCAGCCCCGTGCTGTGCCCTAAACAAAGCCCACTAATTTACAGCTTGTGAACAAATGACACAAGTGATTGTGATTTTACAGGGAAAGTTGGGGGGGTGGAAGGGAGGACACCACTCTTCATGTGACTTGTTCGGGCAAGGAGTGTCGGGAACACAGCCAGAGGCCAGCAGATCCCATCCTCCACCCCTCATCCTTCTTCTCTCGACATTACATCACCACGGCCTTTGTTATTGTGGTGACAAAGAAGGCAGTGTTTAATACACGGCAGCGCTTTGACTTGCTCAAAGCTCAAACTGCTGGATTGGATGGTCTCTGCCTGCAAACACAGAACATTGAAAAACTGGAATGGCTGCAGCAGGAAACACTGGACCACATTAGAAGCTGGGGATACTTTAATAACGAGCCCTGTACAGGGCTGGCAGAGCACGTCGTTTAGAAATGTTTTTGACTTGCATTGCCTCATTTACAGAAAATGAAAACTTAGTCATTGTTTCTGTAGAAAGACTGAACTGGAAATTCTGAGTCACTGCACTGATGCCGATTTCTGTCTCTGTAAATGACCAAAGACCAATATTACCGTTTTGCTGACACTGTGTTGATTCCATTATTGTAACCATTTTGTACATTTGCAACTTCAGTGAAGGTTTCGGAGACATTAAATATTTAAGTGATATTTAAATTAAGGTTAGACTTTGGTCAAAGGGGGGAAAAAAAGCACACACTGATATAATGACTACAGTATCAAGAACATTACTGATGGAAACCTTGCAGATGCTAAAACAATGAGAAATCTGGGTGGTCATATGATGCACCGCACTGTAACACTGCAGAGAATTTTGGTAAGACACTTGTTTATAAACCAGAGTTTACAGTGGAGGCTCAGACAGTACCTAAATGCTACTTGCATACTGACCATCAGCCAGTGACTAAAAGTCTCTGGACCTCAGGCGTCATGCCAGGATAGTGACATGCTCAGTTTCCATTATAGTTACCCTGATTAAAAGGGAAGAATGATCGCAAAGTCTAGCATACACACATACTAACGGGAACTTTCGAAATTTTAAATTAAACCCAGAAAATGAGTTTTTAATTACAAACTGGCATTACCGTTCATCATCAGTGCAGCGTCTGAGTGCAAAGTCTGGAAAATCTGGAAAAGGACCACAATTGATAACAAGTGTCTCTCTAAATGGAGACAAATTAAAACGCTGAGAATGAGAGAGTGCTGGTACTGCAGAGATGAGAACTGCTCCACTTAACATCCGAGTGCACTTATTTCTCACTTTGGGACTTAATACGATAGTGACTATGGAATACTGGTTTCAGTATGAGCCAAAAACTGAAAAAGGGAAACTCGATTATGATGTGATACCACACTAAAACAGGACAAACATCTAAAAACAGGACATATAGAAGCAGCTGGTTTTACACAGAACAGCAGAAAAAAAATAGGTATCATTGAAATGATGATGATCAAATTTTAGCAACAACAAGACGAAAAAAAAGGTGTAAGCAGTGCGACGCATTTACAGGAGACATATGCTGTGAAAACTGTGAGATACCCTTCCAATGTGAGGCTTTCACGCCCATTCTGAGTAATGACGTTACAACAAAGAGTCATGTTCTGACTAAGTGTTGGGACACGAACAGTTGACCTTTACTATAAGTCGAGAAAGTGCATTTCAATGATTTCAAAAAGCCTCCTTCACATTTCTAATTTGCACACAGTCTTACGCTGATTTTAGTGGTTACAATGTTTATTGTTGCATTTCAGGTTTATCATGCTAAACCTGCTCTTTAGTACTAAGGGTGTAGTGTTTGAAACTGACATTCCTCCCAAAACCCCCAAAAGGAAATTCATCAGACTTCCTTTTCTGAATGTTTTTTCAAAGTTTTAGACAAGTTGAGTTCTTTCCCTGCGGTTCATGAGCAGCACTGCTAACGAGACAAAAAGGATCATGGGTATTCTGTGATGTATTAAAAATAAATCAAACTAAAAACACTAGATACTAATAGCAATTAATATTAAATTAGTATTCACAACCTTTGCTCAGTGCAGCAGCAATAACAACCACAAGTCTTTTTGAGTATGACGCAAAACTTTTGGCAAACTTTCTTTTTAGGTTTCCTCCATTCTTCTTAAACATCATCAGGTTGGAAGGGGGCTGTCGGTGCACAGCCATTTTCAGAACTCTCCAGAGATGTTCAATCAGGTTCAAGCCTCGCTACTGGCAGCGTCACTCAAGGACGTTCAAAGAGTGGTCCCAAAGCCACTCCTTTCTAATCTTGGCTGATTGCTTAGGGTCATTTTCCTGTTGGAAGATAAACCTTCAGCCCAGTTCAGAGTCCAGCGCACTCTGGGGCAGCTCATCTGGAGCAAAGATGTCTCTGTACAAAACAGCATGATGGTTCCACCACCGTGCTTCACTACAGGGATGATATTGGCCAGGTGATGAGCATGACCCTTTTTTTTCCCTTTGCATTCAGACCAAAGAGTTTTATTTTTGTTTTAGACAGACCAGAGTTTTTCTTTTTCATGGTCTCAGAGTCCTGCAGGTGCCTTTGGCAAACTCTTTGTGGGCTGTCATGTGCCTTTTACTGAGGAGTTGCTTTCATCTAACCCTTCTACCATACAGGCCTGATTGGTTATCCTTCTGCTCTCCACAGAGTAACACTGGAGCTCTGTCAATGTAGCCATTGGGTTCTTGGTCTTCTCACTTACTAAGGCTGCTCTACCACGATTGCTCAGATTGGCCAGGTGGCCAGCTGTAGGAGGGGTCCTAATGGTTCGAAACGTCTTCCATTTACTAATGATGGAGGCCAATGTGCTGCCTTTCTTTTTCCTTAGATCTATCCCTTGATACAATCCTGTCTCTGAGGTTTACAGAGAATTCCTTGGATTTCACGGCTTGGTTTGTGCTTAAATTTTATTTATACAATACCAACTCACAACAACAGATCCCTCATGGCAATTTATATGGTAAGGTAAAAACCCTACAATAATACAGACAAAACAAAAAACCCTCCAATGCAGATTTATCGATTTTTGTTTTTCATTTTTAATAAATGTCACTTTGTCAATATGGGGTATTTGTTTGAGGAGGAGTTTTGAAGGTAAAATGAAATTAATCTATTTGGATTAAGGCTGACAAATTGTGGGACAAGTAAAACGCTGTAAATACTTTCCAGATGCTCTGTACTGCATCAAACATGTAGCTCTTGTCCTCGTTAGGACGTGGGAGACTGTCACATGGTGCGTGTCGCTTTTAAATTTTCGGAATCTAAAACCTTAGTGTTTTAGATTCAGACATGTTTTACAACGCAACATGTAAGAATCAACCACATCCATCTTTTCTCCACTGGGGAAAACAAACAAAAAATACCTACATGACTGTACATGCTACCAACTGAGAGCTTTGCTTCAATGCATGAGTTTAAGAAATGAATCATATCAATGTTTCTAATCTCCTCCCACAACAAGGCGTCAAGTCAGCTGGTAGCCACTGTACAAGAGGAAGTAGTGATAAAGCCAGAGTGGGGGAGGGGGCCGAGAATGGGAATACAACTGACCTGAACTGAAGGTCATTCGTGCTTACTGTTCCTCATCTTGTTCCTACATCGAGTACAACATGGTTACTGGCCAGATGAAATGCAAAACCCTGACAGAGGTCACATAATTTAACTTCCCAGCAACTTAGAAAGTGAAAGCAACAGCAAAATGTCATCTGATCATTAACTTGTGATGTGTGAATGACCCTCAAATCCAAATGTTTTAGTTAAGCTGCTTGAGAGCCAGCTGTAAGAGGATGTTGTGGCTAATGTTGAGAGTGATCATTACAAAGGAGTAAAGTTTAAAAATGGCCAGCTTCCATTGGTCCCTTTGAGTTGTCTTATACAAGATATAAGCGCACAAATGTAGCTTAAAACTGAATCAGACTTTCAAGTAGCTAAAGAGAACCCAGTTATACAACGGAAAGGTATTTATTGTACTTTCAGATTTAATTATTGAGGTAAATGATCTGATAATACACATCTGTAACGAAGATAATATAAACATCAACGATTAGCAGTAAACTGAAGAGTAAAATCAGAGCTGGATATTTTCAGTGAAAGGGATAAGCGAATGCCCTGTTTTATGTAAAGAAAATGTATCTTTTAAAGACTTATCCTCAAAAAATATTTTTGATGACGCATTTCTGAGGTCCTCTGGAAAAATGCTGTTTATGCAGCCTGGAAAAATCATCTAGAAATACTTTCCACTCCACAGTCAGACACACTGTTACCAACCAACAAAAGCACTGTATAAGCAAGGTGTCAGATCCACTCTGGGATTTCTCAAATGTTAACTTCTAAACAACAAATGTTGTTCTGCTAAAGAATGGGCAAAGATGAATAAATATTGTGCTTTGCAAAGGCCAAGTTGAGTCTTGGGATTAATCCAACAGAAATGGTTTGGAAGGACATGAAGGGAGCAACCACCAGCATCCCACAGTTTAGTGTATTCTGGGCGCTACAACTGAGCATCGGGCTAAAATTTCAGGCTAACGTCAAGGTGCAGAGCTAACTGGCACTTATTGCTAACATTTAGGGCCAGAAAGTGGCATGTAAGTGCAATCCCCAAACAGCCCTCATAGGTGTGGTTAGATTTATGGGTGATTTACAGAGGTTTAGCTGTTTTCTAAAGACATGGGCAGTCGATTAATTTCAATATCAAGAGCAAAAAATAAGACATGCTTTTTTTTTTTTAACTGAAAATAAATTGCATGTTGCAAACATTTATTTGAAGCGCTTGACTTAAATATTCTGGAACCTATATTTTGCACCTTGAGAAAGGAAATTTAACAAAAAGAATGCATATGCAACAGGGTTTCCACGTCTTACACACGATCATGTCACTGTGCTCTCTTTATAAATACTAAAAAAAAGGAGTAAAGGCTTCGGCTCACACTTGCCCAAGCGCTAAATGTTATCCTGACTTGATGTTCCACCTTCTGACATGTACGGTGTTACCCTTAGCAAATATTTGACAACTTCATGTGCACTGGACCTGATTGATGATGCCTGATAAAGCTGTGAAGAAAATGAAGCCAGCAGGAAATCATTACCTACAAACCTTGGAGACCAACTTGCCTTCAAGGTGACTCCTCTACAGGAATAAATGCTCCCTCAGCAGGTTTAGCATGTCAGCACAAGAACAGCAAAATTATCACATCCAATCTCTGCTTGTTTACACAGCTCACTGGCAAAAAGTCTCCACAGCACATACTCGCTGTTGTTGTTGACTGTAAGGCTGAAATTCGTGAGTCACCACTGAAATGCTGATTTGTACCTCATTGACAAAAATGACGCTCAAGCGCCCCAAATAAAAAACTATAATCATTCAGGAGTTTACTTAACCATGTGTTTTATCTGCTATTCTAACTTTATTTGTTTAATAATTAAAGGGAAGACTTTTGTTGTATTCTATCTTGGCATGATGAAGCACTGCACCACACGCACACATCTTCTCCTACCCTCCTTTCTGCTTTCAGACTAAGATAAAGTGCAATCCATAGCCAAACACAATAACACACTCTGGGTGATTGCAATTAGACAAATGGAAATGATGGCCAAGCAGTGATTGGAGGAATCCCCGCGGACAAAAAAAATGGGAATGACACTAAAACTGCAGGTTACATAATGTCTGAATGTTCAGAGACACATCTGTAACAATCCCATAATGTTCAATATGAACAGCTGAGTTTCATTACGTGACAACATCTGGCTAGAACTCGAAGGTGTAAACAGGGTGATTCAAATGAGGCGATACTTAAAAGCTGCAACAGAAAAGATATGAGGGCAAACTAAATTAAAAAATGCAGGACGGAACAAATCAAACTTTGCCACTTTAAGAGTAAAAAAACATTTGTTATAAATCCTCAGGTGAGACATTCTAAAAAGAGGATTTACAGCTTACCTGAACAATGTAACATTTTAATATTTAAGAGTTTCTTGGAGCTTAATTTAACATTTTCTAGTGACTTCCACAACAAGCAAAGCTGCACAGGTCACTTACTTTAAAAAAAATAAAAATTCAACTGATGAATGTTGGATCTTACTAATGGATGACATCTCTACATCCATTTCATGAATGTCTGACAGAAGACACATGCGTTACCCCACTCCAGCTACAGGTTGGATAATAAGCATGTGTTTGACAAGTCAACCTTGTAAACATGTAAAACCTGTCTGTACAGCAAACTACCGCGAGGATTCAGTCGTCTGTTTGCTAAATACTAGGAAGAATATATTAGTACCCAAGTCATCTGATTGCCTAACATGAGGTGTGGTAAGATTAGATGCTACTACACTAACAGGAGAGACATGCAGAGCTCAAAGAGGGACTACTAAAGTTCTCAATAAATCTGTTTACAAATAAACAAAACAAACAAACAAAAAAGAATCAATGCTAAATCTGTCAGCAAAACTAGGGAATCGTGTTACTAAAAAACCCACACAGAACAAGTGGAGCTTCAAAGAACAGCTGATTAGTCCCTTGTGAATGCAGAATAATATTTTGGAGTGACATGCACGTCCCAAATCATAGGTTAAGGGTTGAACATAGGTTGACTTGCTAACAAAATCATGACAGAAAACAGCTGAATATTTGATGACAGAGACTGGTGCAGCATCAGCAGCATCCACCTTTAAGACTTGACTTTATGCTCAAGCAGGAGCACTGATACCTTTTTAGTCAGCAGTGACCCTATAAAAAGTCACACAGACCCTAAAGAGGGATGATGGTCATAATCTACCCAATATAACTGAGCTGACAGCTGCAGTGAACAGACCTGTGAGTGAGCTTCAGCTTGATAATCGCTTGCTAATTCAAATAGACCAGTTTGTCCCAGCATCAATAAAACACCCAGTGTACATAAAGTTTGTTTTAAAACAGATTAAAATAGCAATCCAATAACATAGTGCACTGAAACCTTTCACATCAATTGAGATCACATTTCTTTAGGATTTTCTATGTATTTGGAATATATTGTTAAAGCAAACACACACACTGATAACCCTTCCTTTCTAGAACGGTTTCCATCCACGAGACATCACCATGATGCCACCCTCACCTGACTCGCACACGATGGAGCCTGGCTTCAGCTCCAGCATCATGGTAATGAAGGCGATGTCTGTGGTGTAGAGGATTTGTGTGCGGTGCGGCAGGGCAACTGTCCACAGCTCCGGCGTTGGGTGAAGCACATGGAACCATCCTTTGCTGCAGGTCACCTTTGACCCGTAACGCTGACCAATCAGGTCTGTGGAGTGGCGAATGACTCCATAGCGTGTCTGCGTTTGGGCACCCTGCTGCACCTTGACAGGCATCACATTGTTGTGGCTCAGGTAAATGATGGCAACATCCCCATCTTGAATGAAGTCCGAGTACTCCACAAAACTCATCGTAAGCACGGCCACTCTGGAAAAAGAAGACGGGCCTACTTAAAGGGCATTTTTTCTTTTTACTATTTTAATTACACTGATGTAGTTGGTTGATCACTAATTTGACATATTTCACTCAACTTACAACTTTAAAATCAGGATAAGCCAGGGGTGGGCAATTCCAGGCCACGAGGGCCGGTGTCCTGCAGGTTTTAGATCTCACCTTGGGTCAACACACCTGAATCACATGATTAGTTTGTTACCAGGCCTCTGGAGAACTTCAGGACATGTTAGGGAGCTAATTTAGCCATTTAAATCTGCTGTGTTGGTTCAAGGAAACATCTAAAACCTGCAGGGACACCGGCCCTCGAGGCCTGGAGTTGCCCACCACTGGGATAAGCCATCACTGTGAAGGGATTTTTTTTTATAACAATTTGTTTTTACCTACAATCTACAGTTCAATTTAGTTTGCAAGCATCTCATGAGGGGAAAGGATGTATAAACTAATATGTTTTACCAAATCTTAATATCTTCCCATTTTGACATTGTAGATTCTGGTTGATCGTTTTGCAAACAATATCTTTTTAACTTTGTTTTCAATTATATTTTCATTTTTGCACATTACAAACAAGCGGAAAAGGTAGTCTGCTGCTGATGCGAGGCTCCTTGTTGCTTTGGTAACAACTGTGCCACTGTCACACGTTAATTGACGGAGCTGCTCGTGAATTGTCACGCGCACTGAACGTTGCTTATTAAATCCAGTATCGTTCAACCTCAGGACCAACGACTGTTTTAGTTTATCTGAACGGCGGATCTACTTTAACCAGCTTCTCCTTCAAGTGAAAAAAGGACAAATTTATATCGGAGAAACATGGAGAAGATGTCAGTGAGATGACTTTACAGTTATATTTCTATTTGTTTGTTAGTTTTAAAGACAACTTTTTTTTCTCTGGTATTGAAGTCAAGCAAACTGTGATGGCTTTGCCTATTAGGGGCAGTAGATCGTGTTATATTACCTCTTCGCTTAATTTAATTTCTGTTTATAGTAAAATAAGGAAAAACAAGTCAATGGAGAATACGTTTTGTGTAAATGATGCTAACGTTAGTTACCTGAGCAAACTAACGTTCATGTTTGGGTCGCATTTACTGTAAAATGTTTTTGCGTGTTTGACTGTTTTTGTGTTTAAAGTGGCAAAAATTGTAACTCCACAAAACCGGCAAAAGGCCACAGTGCAAAACGTCTGAAAACATAAGTCAGCTTACGAAGTTTTCGTTTCAACGTTTACATGCTAACGTTAGCGATGCTAGCACCTGTTAGAACACCGGCTAACGGCTATTAGCGAGAAAAAAAAGCAGCCGTTGGAAGCTCTCCACCTACCTCCTTCAGAAGTAGTGTTCTTTGACTGCTGGACAAAACAAGCAAAAAAATAGACTTAAGAGGACCAATTCTGCTCTTAATGCGGCTCTATGTTCAGCAGTTACATCCATTCATTCCTCACTCACACATGTGGCGTTGTTTTCAGAGGAAGTTGAATCGATGAAACCGGAAGATAACCCGGTGTACAAAGCAGCAACAATCAGTAAAAACCTCTTTTGCCGAACACCTGCAGATTCATATGTTTATTTTGTGCAGTTGGTTTGCGAATTTGCAAATTTCGCCTTTGGCAAATATTTTTCTATACCATCTGTACGATTATTTCCTGAACATTAAATAGGATAATTGTAAAAAAAAAAAAAAAAATACAAAAACAGTTATCACCAGTAAGTTAAACTAGTGGATGTAAGATTGTAGTTTTACCGTAGTAGGAGAAAAAAGAAATATATGCTACTATGTATTCATTTGCACTTTAAGTTGCATTCTGTTTTTTAAAGGTGCTGATAATTTGTCTAAAACTAGAAACCAGAAAGCTGAACGTGTAATAAGTAATTTAATGCACTGCTGCAAAAATGCAATAAAGACCACAAAAAACAGAAACAGGAGTGAAATACCAGCGAACAAAAGGAATCCTAGCTGGAGCAATATCAGCGCGTCCAATTGAATGAATGGACTACAAATACTGACCAATGGGAGCGGAGGATCGTCTGCTATAAATCACCATCTCAAGTCTTTAGTCCGGTTGGAGAGCTGCTGGGACGCTGCTGGTGGCTTGTGAGCTCCTCGGTCAGGAAAAATAGGGATCTTTGTATCAAGCCCTGGTGGCAGTAGTAATAGTAATAATCCGCAAATTCGACAACAGGTAAGATTTTCGCTCAGTTTAATTTAGAATTAGGTCGCACCGGCAAAATCTCTTTAGCTTTTACGATGAAATTAAAGGCGCTTTTTACTACAGGAACTAATGTAACATTTGAGTATTTAATGTGATTTAAAAAAAAGGAAATACGATCAATTATGCTTAAGAAAACTGATGTGGTGCATGTTTTCACCTCTAAACGCGCTGCACAGCGGGAGAATCGTTTATCTGCTACCCCCCCCCCCCCCCCCCCCGAACGAACACCCATTTGATGTGCATGTCAGCTGTAGACTCAGTCCTGACTCTATCGGTATTTTGCGGTTTGTTCGGGGTTTTTTTTTCACCGTCTCTCCCTTCCGTCCTCCGACCAGGGATCAGCCATGCCGTTCGGTAACACGCACAACCAGACGAAGATGAACTACTCCTCCGAGCAGGAGTACCCGGACCTCAGCAAACACAACAATCATATGGCCAAGGTTCTGACTCCTGCTATGTATGAGCGACTGAGGAGCAAACAAACACCCAGTGGATTTACTCTCGATGATGTCATTCAGACTGGGTTGATAACCCAACTATTTTAAAAAAAAAAAAAAAAAAAAAAAAATCCCAAGCAGCTTTTCAGCCAAACCACCATCTGTTCCGTCTGATCCACTGCCTGTAATGGTCTCAGCGGTGCTTTGTGTCTCTGTTTGTGTGAGGGGGAGGCTTTTTGCACTGTGACCTTGTTAAGGGGATAAAGTCAAGCAATTTTTACAAACATATGGAGTACTGATTCTATTCGAACCTGCCACTCTCCTCTAAATGGGTTTCCATTTTCAGGCCAGTATTGCACAACTTAAAAGCAAAGTGTAAAGATTACCAGAGTTACATAATGTATGCAGCTGATAGTCCCTGCTGCTTTCAGTTTATTATGTGCTATATTCTCTACTGTATTGAAGACAACACAAATGAAGTTGATGTTATAACCCTTCGGGTTGGGATGACCTGGTAGCTGTAAACTGTATGGCAGGTAACTCTCCTCACCCTGTAGACTGTTTCTGTTTAGCTCTGACAAAATGGTCAAGCTGACCCTGAAGAGGCTGTCAGCTGAGGATGAGTACCCAGATCTCAGTCAGCACAACAACTACATGGCCAAGGTTTTAACCCAGGACATGTACAAGAAACTGAGAGAGAGGGCTACACCCAGCGGCTTCACCATAGATGGTGTCATTCAGACAGGGGTTGACAATCCTGGTACAGTAACAGTCCCAGTCTGAGCCCTGACGACACAGAGCACATTTAATTTGTGAGGATGTTTGTTTGTATATTGCTGTCCGCGGTCTCTTGTGACCCTGTTGGCTTCACGTGCAGGCCACCCCTTCATTATGACTGTGGGCTGTGTTGCTGGGGATGAGGAGACATACGAAGTCTTCAAAGACCTGTTGGACCCTGTGATCGAGGACCGACATGGAGGATACAAACCCACAGACAAGCACAAGACTGACCTCAACTCAGGCAACCTGAAGGTACCGCAGCTCTTCCATCGCTTAACAAAGTCAAATTTAACTCTGGAATCTCAGCCAAGCCTAATGTGACTCTGCTCTCTAAGGGTGGTGATGATCTCGATCCCAACTACGTGCTCAGCTCCAGGGTCCGAACAGGCCGCAGCATCCGCGGCTTCAGTCTGCCACCGCACTGCAGCAGAGGAGAGAGACGTGCTGTGGAAAAGCTTTCCATTGAAGGTAAGGAGGCCTCTGTACTGAAAGAAGATGGTTAGTGACAGTGATTGTACTCTGCTGCAAGTCACTAAGCTGATCTACACAGATGGAGACGGCCTGCCGCCAGATGATTGTTATATAAAAGCAACATAACTCTATGCCCTGAAACCAGTGATTCACGTTGCTCATGCTTGTGGACTCGTTTGTGAGGCAGTAGATGCCCCCTAGTGTTTGTTAAAATGCAGCACAGAAACAAAGGTGGATTAGACTCTTATGACCAATTTATTCTGATGCTAAAAACACTAGTAAATCTTTTTATCTTAATTTGATTTTCCAAAGCTCAGTGTGGAATTGGATCAGTTTTTCAGCATTTTTTTTCCCAAACTGTTCATCACAGACAGGAACTGCAGCCTAAGAGTAATTTGTCATGTCTCAGATCTGTCATAAATCACGGCTCTTGTCCCTGCAGCTCTGGCCTCTCTGTCTGGAGATCTGAAGGGGAAATATTATGCCCTGAAGAACATGACTGACGCAGAGCAGCAGCAGCTCATTGATGACCACTTCCTGTTTGACAAGCCAGTGTCTCCTCTGCTGCTGGCCTCAGGGATGGCCCGCGACTGGCCCGATGCCAGAGGCATCTGGTAATGTCTCGTCTTTAATGCAGTTTGTCTACCAGGAATGTGTAAATCTCTCCACTGGTATTTTGACTTAAAATTGTATTTCCTGTCTACAGGCACAATGATAACAAGACCTTCCTGGTGTGGGTGAATGAAGAAGACCACTTGCGTGTGATCTCGATGCAGAAAGGAGGCAACATGAAGGAAGTATTTACCCGCTTCTGTACCGGGCTCACAAAGGTTGGTAGAAAAGCCTTAAGTTTCTAATCACTGATCTTTAGCAGAGTTTCTGTTCACATTAGCAAGACTCTAAGAGCATATTCTTATCTGTGCAGATTGAGAGCCTGTTCAAGGAGAGGAGCCATGAATTCATGTGGAATGAGCACCTGGGTTACGTCCTCACCTGCCCGTCTAACCTGGGCACTGGCCTGCGTGCAGGTGTACATGTGAAGCTGCCAAACTTGAGCAAAAATACCAAGTTTGAGGAAGTTCTCAAGAAGCTGAGGCTCCAGAAACGTGGAACTGGTGAGCTTTATTATTTTAGTTCCTACTGCTGGAACTGGTTTGAGTGTTCTCCAAATTTAAAACTACATTGAGCACATTTTCATATTTCACAACTAGTTGCATTTTCCTGAGCAGTACATGACAAAGCCTTGTTTAGAAATGCTCCAAATGTCAGTTTCTGTGAGGTGTGTTTGAGTTGCATTTAAAAACCCTTTTGCTTTACCATCAGGTGGAGTGGACACTGCTGCTGTGGGTGGTGTCTTTGACATTTCCAATGCAGACAGGCTGGGCTTCTCTGAGGTGGAGCTGGTGCAGATGGTGGTTGACGGAGTCAAGCTGCTGGTGGACATGGAAAAGAGGCTAGAGAAAGGACAGTCCATCGATGACTTGATGCCTGCCCAGAAGTAAATCCCTCCCAAACTCCCATTCTCCTCCATTCCTCACCCACAGTCTACTCTGGTTGACTCCATCCTTGAATGCACTCTATTACAGCTGGGATTTGTATTTAAGTTGAAACTGTTCCTGTAAGTTCTGACCTCAAATAAACTGTTCTGTTCAAAGCAAAGCCTGCTTGTAATTCATTGCAGTGAAACTGATGAAATATTTGGGATATTTAATACTAGTCCAGGGGCCTGTTCTTCGTACCTCGCTAAGTAAGTTAGCTGGATTAGATTGTTGACGATTTCGC